CCTGCCTGGAAGTAGAGGCTCCCAAACACAGATAAGCCCAAAGACTCCAAGTGGGTAAATTGCATCTACAGGCTTCGGAAGTCAAGCTTAAGGGAGTTCCAGCAGAAGGAAGGTGAGCATTCATACACTCGAGTAAGCGCAACAGCATCTACTGAGGTGACCACAATGCCAGAAAGCAAAGAAGATGTAGTTTTAAGTGCATGTTCCTACAACAAGATTAATGAAATAAAAAAACACTGGCTTCCACAAACACAGACACCACACCATTCACTTCATTTCTATAAACCTCTAGGTGTCATTCTTCTATGCTACTTTTTCATCTACCTCGCTCACTGCCCCTGACCAGATGAAGAAGTTTTCTGTCTCCTTGCTCCAAAATTGTGTTTGTGATTCTACCAGTTCTGCTCTCATCCAGCATTTCAGAGTAGCACAGAAGGAGCCACAGCATTCCTAGGTATCTGCCTGTACCATTCAATAAAGTACCCGTTTAAGTTTAAGGAGAAACAGGCACAACTCAAAACTCACTGCATACAAACTGAGTGTATCTCACTGTTGCAGACTATGCATAGGGTGGAACAGATGAAAACACAAGTTCAAGAGGAAAACCAAGAAATCTAAGACTAGAAAGTGGAACAGAATATAGAAACCAAGAGGCAAAAATTACCTAAAAACAGCCACACCAATTTTATAGTGAACTAGATCTGACCCATATTTCATCCTGGAATTATCTGTTGAAGGGTGCACTTTTCAAATGTACAATTCAGAGAAAAAAGTACTAGGTTTTGCACAGGCTTGGTCCAGGCAGCAAAGTCCAGGCAGAAAACAGTAACTGGAGGTAATTCTAACCATGAAAGACAATGTGAGCTCTGAAGCAGGGCAGCTGTTACTTTATATACCACAGAAAACAAAAATTATGCAACCCAAATCCATAAAGCAAGAATTCCGTGCTTCAAGTTATTAGTTAAATGTTGCCCCCATCCCCCCACCCCCTCCCTAATTATTCTAGGGATTGTAACAGACTAATTATGCACAGTCTTATTCCTTAATCTTACAGACCTGTAAATTCTGAGGCTCAGAACAAACTGATGAAACACCCACTCATCCATTCCCCTGCTCTTTATTATAAAATCTATAAGGTTTTGTAGCTGCAATCCGGCCAAGATGTAAACTCTTATAAGATTGTACATAAAAACATTAACTACCACCTCAAATAATTGGCATGACATTCTGCCACAAGTACAATGGCTAGTTTATTGTTGGTTTGATTCATTCTTGGATGGTAATAAAATCAAATGTTTTGTTCAGAATGTATTTCCAGACATCTCTTTACCTTTTTTGTTTAATAGCATCTCTCTTTATCATCACTTCAACTTGTAATCTTTATGCAGTTTCTTACTAGTTCCCTATCACAAGGCACAAAGCTTTTCCTACCATAAATGAAAGCTCCCACTCTGAATACCCAGAATTTTTTACTTTTTTTTTCCTATCTGATACCATGAGATCATTTTAGTAAAGGCATAGGGACTTAAAATAGGTGCAACACAACTGGTATTGCTAATATATTTCCCAGTATCTCTTTCCTCAGAAGAAATACTTCAGGAATTGAGAAAGCAAAAATACACTACCATTTCTTCTCCTGAAGTAATTCACTCTGAAAAAAAAATAAATAATTCACAGCAGTCATGAGGGTAAAAGAAAAGAGAAATGTACATTTTTCAGGACTTTTGCTGACGGCTGTTGCAGACTAAGAATAAAATTGTATGAGGTCCAAGGACACCAACGTTTTTTCCCTCTGTCTATCAGAAACAACTGCAACCGTGCTAGACTCCACAAGATACAGTCTAGCAGTAAGCGATAAGAGAGTGTCAGTGACAAAGGTCAGAATTAAAGGGCACAGTTTGATAATGGAGAAAAATAAGAATACACTTGGACAAGTATGCATATAGATTTGAAGAAAAGTAGATTACAGGAAGAGAAAAAAGAAATAAAGGGGGAAAGCTGTTTTCATTATACGGGACAGCAAGAGACAGAGTCAAAAAATGTATTCAAGCTTACAAGCCACTGAGCTACCTATTTCTTCAGAACATGAAGAACAATTCTCTGGGGAGAAGTCCGTGTACAACAGATAGGCACACCATCAGGAGTATCAACTTCTCCACACACCTGATCCACCGCATCAGAAAGAGAAAAGATATTGGTGTCTGTTAACTACTGCTAAGAGATCTGAAGCAAGCAGCTAAGAAAAGTAAGTCTGGTGTCTGTCACACGCCTCTATAGGTGAAATTTCTTTAGGTGTCTAAACCTCCCCTGGAAAGTTTTATGGATGCCAGGAATCAGAAAGATAGCGAGTGATTGACTGCTTTAAAAATTTGCACAGGGCTGATAAACTGCAAGTTTTGCACATGCTTGAATCAAAATAGGGCAATCCCAAGGTTAGTCATGCAGCTTAGATCCCCCTCCAATAAAAACAGCATAAATCTTACCTTTTATAAAGGCACCATCAGGGCAGCCCTTTTAAGCTCCTACCCACAAACTACCTTCTCCTTCTTTTCTAGCCCCGAAACAATCTCAAAAACATCTCAAGATCACAGTTGTATAGAGGCACCAGAAAACAATAGTAAACCCAGTTTGTCTGAGCCATCCCTTGGGCATAAAATGACATCACTACCAACTCTGTACCACTGTACAAGATGCACAAGAAATGCATCTTGTAGGCCTGCTCACCTTCTTTCCGTCAATCCAGGCAGGTACTCCTGCAAGACTCAACAAAGGCAAACCCTCTAAATAAGCAGCATGTCTAAGAGTCTGAGGGGCACTATCACAGCCTGGTTTTGCTTCACATGGCCATACATAACAACAATGTCACTGCAACAAAGTTCATGTGGTGGCCTTAGCAGCTTCAGGTTTACAGCTGGACTAAATGATCTTAAAGGTCTTTTTTGCAACCTAAATGCTTCTATGATTCTATGCAGTCAGGCCTGAGCTGTTCCTAAACTACCTCGGTAATACCAGCTGTGTAGCCACAGCAGCATTTTGCCCAACAGCTACGTACCTGGCCTGGTTAGGACAGCAGTAGCATGGGAAAACCTAGAAGCCCTTCAGTTACAGGCATATATGATGTGGTCACATAATTGCAGGCTGAAAAGCATAGACTTACCCTCTGGCATCATAAAATGGAATACAGCAGTTTAGAGGGGGCCACAGGGCTCTGTAAAAGAACGTAGCTCTTTTGTGGACAACAGCAAAGATGCCGATACTCAAGGGAGGGAAATAGCATCATGGTTGCTCCGTGCTAAAAATGTTCCTCCAGTTACCCACTCCAGGAAAAATCCAATTGCCCTCCCTCTCTACTTGCTCTTTTACAGAAGGAACACAGTTGCTACGCTAATTTTTAATGAAGGGGTTTCATTACATTTTGCTATATAAATAGATTGTTTTTAAAGATAAGTATTTCATATTAATGATTTACAAGCTCACTATGCCACTTAACATTTCTAATCAGTTTTAAGGATGTTTGTTCCTTTGAAAAGAATAAAGACTTCCTATCATAGGTGGATAGATGTGAACAACAGAACAGAGCCAAAGCCAATTCTCCTTGTGACTAGAGGAGGAAAATAGCTTCTGTTTACTGTTGAAGGTTATATCGCTTGTTTTATGGAGGAGGAATAAAGGAATAAAGTACAGAGACTTTGCATAGCTAGTGTTTGTAGTCTATGATCACGCAAGCTGAAGCAGAATCAGAGTGACAAAAAGGCCTAGGAAACCAAAAATGCATAGCATAGCTTCTGAAGGAGGCATTAATTCAGAACATTTAGCTTGGGGGAAAAAAAGCCCAAAAAGTCCAACTCTATTTCCAAGCAGCTTAAATACTGCTCCTAAATAAAGGTGTTCAATTTGTTCCATTTTACAGGAAATACCTAAGATGATGAAAAGTATGTGTTTCATTTCTTTTCTGCCTTTTTTTCTTTCAAGACTTCTCCAATTTATTAGGAATTTTCACTTCAAAGGAAATTGCTGTTTCGTCTCTAGCTTTGCTTCTTAGCTATTATGTTAATCCTGTATTGTAATAGTTACAGTTTCTCCTGTTGTTTCTGACATTTATCGATTTCATGACAGTTTGCTATTAAGCAAATTGTGCTATTTGTATTGCTTCGCAATCTGTTTATAGATGCTGAGAACAGAAAGAAAATGCTACACTCCACATTTGTTCAGTCTCATGGATAAATTTTTATTACCATGCAGGCCCTAAATGAAGTTTAACAGAATTTCTAGATGCCTTGGGGTGCTAATTTGGTATTATGAAAGGACTTGCAATCTAAAAGAACATCACTTGGCACTTCCTTGACTAGCCTAATCATTATAGGCATCTTCAACAAACAGAAAACTGTTTTAAGTTTGTAGTTAATGTTTGCCAATTCCTATGGAAAAAAAAATGGTCAGGCAACCTGGCTGTGTTCAGTTGTAGTTTGGTGCACTGAGAATTAAAATATTATCCATACTTAAGCTGAACTACAATGACTTGACTTTATAGCAGCTACAGGCATGTACACATGTGCACCAAAGTGTCACTGGAGAAGTACAATGTAGTCATTTTGACATGTTAGAATGCGTGGATATAGTTACTTCTGAAAGATATACAATTATATTACTCAAACTTAGGTAATTAGAGACAGGTAGATAATTCACAAAGTAGAATTTCTGACAGGCCATGTTACTGGTTTTGGTACAAACCTGTCAATGAAACATCATCTAAATTACAGTTGTTGTTTTACATTCTTTCTTTTTCATAATTCATCAAAACAACTTATTGATACTAATAATAACAGTCCAAAGACACAGTGCACTTAGATTTGATTAGTTTTGTTTCCAAGTAAATCCATAAAGAGCTGCAGATAAAAAGGAAAACCACCTTATGATGTCACATCAATACGTTACTCATTAACTGATTTTAAAAACTAGCCTGAGCTGGAGCCACACCAAGACTGCACTTCCCACAGCAGTGAAAGGCTGCGCATTGAAGGGTCGCTCCAGAACTGAACTTCACCTAACTCTGCAGCTACGTACAGTAAAATGATAAGAAAAGGGAATTCCTCGGAGGACTCCGTTTTTTATTCTGAAAAGCAGAGCAGCTTCCGAAAGTCAAGTAACGACACCCCAGTCAGTCCTACGGAGAGTTCTGGATCAGTATTCATAAGGTAAATCCTGACGTGTTTGAGGGTTCTGTATGTACTTGGTGCTGGGGAGGAGGGACGGGGGGGATGGACGGATGGACAGGGCAGCAGCACGGGAGGGCACTGGGACAAATGCACCAGTGAAAACACCCTGACGAGGAAGCTTAGTACAAGAAGGCAGTGCATGTAGAGATGGTAATTTCACTCATATTACTGATTGCACTGGGGAGTGCTACTGTTAAGAAATTTGCAAGGGAGGACAGAAGACTGCTGTTCTCTCTTTCCATATCTATTATACTCTAGTAGGGCTTTAAAGATGTACAGTGCTGTACACTAACAAACTCATTTTAAAACTACCTTTTTGAGGTCATCCAGTACTATCTATGATATTTGAGTGAATCTCTGTACAAAACAAATGTAAGCTTTGTTAGAACAGAGAATTTAACAAAATATTTTCATGTGTGTTTTGGCCTGTATGAAACTTTACAATGCTTGTTAATGTATGTTTCAAGAGAAATGTTATCATAACCATAAGAAGTATTCAGGGAAGTTGAATGCTTGCATGAATCAGTACTGCCTAAAGGGCTTGCTGACAGAACAATTGCAAAGAATTTTAAGGGGAAATCTGTTTTTTTGCCTTGGAAGGGTGGACTTGTGGATTGCAGACTCACATTGGGGTGCAATTCATTCCAGTGAAGAGTTCTGGATAAATCATGCACATTTTGGACAGCATAGATAAATGAAGGAAGGTAGCGTCAGAGGGTTACTGGCACTTACCACATATCCTTCCCCATCTACTGCACAAATTCTTTATATGGGGTGACAGTTCATATTACTAAGTGGGTTACAAGGATAAGTAAGTCTGCTGGCCTCATTTTTTGAAATGTTATTAAGGTGGTTTAATATTATATCTGTATAATGTCCTTTCTTCCAACTCAAATGTCAGAGGGATAATGTCTTACAGTTTGAGCAGAGAATAAGGAATCAGAAATTTTAAGTTTTAATTAGAGCTCCCAAAGGCTCTTACCTAATCTAATCCCTACCTTAACTAATCACTTAGAGCCTGTCTTTTAAAACAATATCCACAGGTGTGTTTGTATGCCTCTGTTGATCTCATTTTCTGATTAGGCATGGGACATGAGTACATACACAGTGGCGTCTGGAGGGTTCAACACAAGTAGGTGATGTTTAACCACTGCTAATTTGGGCAGTAGAAAGTTTGCCCTCTTTTTTCTGACCAGCCCAGAACACCGGGCAGACAGATTTACTTACTTTTTTATTTACCACTAGATAACCAGTACACAAAAAGCTACCATATATGCTCTGATAGCAATGTGATAAGCCCTTACAAAGAACAGAGTCCTTTGCCTCAGATTTTGCAATAATCAACCTCCCCGCCAAGCAGAGAGTGGCAGGGGCAGGCCTCCTAGAAATCCAGTTTACTCAATTGCTGTTTCAGTAAGAAGGATAATAAGATCATAAAGCCCTGCTGTGAATCTATACCCCCATAAATAACAAAGATGGAACTGCAGGCTGCAAATACTAGACAATCTAATAAGTGGAATGCATGATTGCACAGAATGAGCTAGTTGCTGGGCTGAGCTCTCACCAAACTTGCTTTTCATGTGTTTGTTGCAGTCATGATACACTTGCCCAAATTGAGCCACATGAAAAATCTGGGAAATGCTGTTGGGAAAAGAAATGCAGGCTCTGCATTTATAGGTACTATTTTTAATACAGTCCTATTTACTTAGAGTGTATTTCCTATATAGGAAGATGCATCCAGAGAGAAAATTTACTATATTAATGATCACTCTTATTCATCCTAATTATTCATGCCTGAGGACAAAAACTGTCTATATGTCTAAGTTTTTATATACCTCTACTTTCTCGTCACTGTAATTGGCACCATGTAGATGAGTACAAATTTGCCAGAATCCAGGGGCTTATTAACATTTCAGACAGAGGAGCTCACAGTTTATCACCATGGCAGCATGTTATTCCTGACACAGAGCGGAACTGATTTCAGAAGAAAATTAAGTCTCTGGAGCTATACCTGAAGTGTCTGCCATGCATAATAGATCAGAGATTTGTATTGATAAAAGTATTGGCCACATGTGTATGCAGCATTTTATCACCATGAATACATAGAGTTGTTCTGACATTAGAACAAAACATTTTCCAGTAGTCTAGATCAAAATATTGGCAAAACCAATAGGGCTCGTAATGTCCCCTGTGGAGCCCATCACTATAACGTTAGTCAATACCCTGCATCCAGGTCTCCTAAACTTTAGAAAAACCTCAAGCCTTGTAGTTTTTACCAATCTTCAGAATGATCCTGAAAAAAAAATATTGGACACGAGAGAATGAGATTTTTAAGCAATCTAGATCACGACTGCTGACCACGATCTCTGTGAATGTCATACTGCTATGTATGTTAATATGAACCCTAGCAATAATCAAATGCAGTTTGTATATCAAATGCTTTAAAAAAAAAAAAAAAAAAAAAAAAAAAAAAAATACATGATTAGGCTGAGTGGGCATTTCTTTGTCTCTTACTAAACATAAAAAATTTATTTGGGTTTAAGATAAGGAACTCCAAACCAAGATTTTTCTCTAAGGGTTGCAAAATTACTGTTTTCTTTTGGCATGTGTTGTATAGCTCAAATGCCCAATAGAGCTTTGAAAGGGGCTCAAACGAGGATAACAAAATACAGCTGCCCAGAAGGTAGAATTTGCAGAAATATTTAAAAAAAAAAAAAAAAAAAAAGAAAAGAAAAGAGTCAGCATTTGCCAGAAATATTGATACTAGGTAAAAATTACAAAAATAATAATAATAATAGACAGCATGGAGAGGTATGTTTTCTAAATGCAAAGTCATGGAAATGGGAGTCAAACAGGTCCTTGACTCTAATCCTGGTTTGACAGCTCATTTGATGAATTGCAATGCATATATCAGTAACATATAATACTTGTGTTTTCCCTCTGTGATCTGGCATTAATACTTACCTGTATTTTGCATACAACAGAATAACAGAAAAACTGTGGAACAACTTGTAGGAAACTGTAAAGACTGTTTTGTTGCAGTTGGGTTTTTGTTTGGACATAAGAAAGGATCCGTACGTTCAGGTTTCTTTGTGAAGATTTCTGGGTGGGAATATGAACTTTTTTAAAGGAAATTTCCTTCTGCATTGAAATTATACTCCTCAGAAACCCCCAGCACACTGCTGCAAGGCTGAGGCTTAGTTCAGACTAATCCAAGCAGTCACATTATAGAGATAAGCACATACCTACCATCTTCTAAAAGGTGTGTCGTCTTTATAGCTCAGTCATGAGAATCTGAAACACTGGCAACCACTTCAGTGCTCAATGGCTTACATTTGGGATTTGGCATTCACTCAATGTGGCCTTGCTATACAAGACGTATCTACTTTTTTTTTTTCCCCCTGAGTAATATAGCTCCTAGTTCTAAATGAGACAAACCAGTAAGTCTATCCAGCTCACTAGAGTAGCTGATTATTCACAACCCCATCTGATGTGAGAGAACTGATAGCATGATTCACTCTTTCAAGCTATTTGTGCCCCTCACTTTAACCTTCCTCCCCTCAACAGTAAGAACAATCCTCTCTTAAGCTCCTGGAAAGTCTGGGCACTACTTTTTCTTGTGGAAGATTCCATTTACCCTCAAATAAGCTGTGCTAACTTTCACTTTCTTACATACTTAACATATTGTACTGCTGTCCTTCAGACTGCCAGATAACTAAAGGTTTCTCTCAACAAAATGATCACCGTATTTACACATACCATGAATGTTTGCATGTGTGCATGCATATCTGGTTCAAAGAGGTATCCATGTGTATTCCTTTATGATACAGAGATTCAAAAACTCCATGTATGCATGCACATTATTCATTAGACACACACAATCTGTTTGATGTCTTAAACATACTGGTGCCTCTGGATTGAAATTTTTGTCTATGTAATCTGTATAGAGATGTCAACCAGGATTTCCTTTGGACATTTATAAGCAGAGTATGACAAATCAAGCTAAGCTGATCTGCCAAGATAGAAGAAGCAATATTTGTATTTATCTTTTCCTGCTTAGCTGGCCAATGCATTAAATGACGGTTATAAATGCAGAAAAATGGATTTCACTGCTGTGGGATTCGGTATTTTCATTATAAATTACAAGATCTAGGCATCACAGCATTCTAACAATGCCATCCATGAGGGATCCAGGGCAAAATATTGCTTAGGTAATATGCTGTGACCACTTTTTTTCAGCTCATGAACCAAGAGGAGACACTGACCTGTGTTTTTCAGCAAAGTGCCAATTGGCTGAGTGCCATCTCATAGGTGGCAGAACTGAACTATTACATATGACAGGGTTGCTTTTTTCAGAATATAAGAAAGTTACCATGAACAATTTGGAGACATGACTGTTCCGTTACTTCACCTGTTCCTCTGTGTTTTGCCATTAACCCTCCTTCCCATACTGTTCTTTTCATCAGCATGACATACCGTAAGACACATCAGTAAAATGCACAGTATGCAGCGTGTCTTCTGTGGCTCTACCCAGGAAGCTGGGTGAAGGTCGTTGCTATCAAAGTGAAAGTAAATGTGCTGATAGAGCACACGTACAATGTGTTACACATTCACTATAAGGGAGGCTGACACCACATTACTAATGCCCCAGTAGTTTTGTGTGAGAATTTCTCTCCCTTTTCCTGCTGGGTGCTACAGTAGTCTTCTACTTCATCCAATTGCTTCAGCATTCAGCCACAACGAACAGCCTCAACATGCCTCACCATTTGCGGTGAGAAATGCTCTAACTAGCCTTCAGACCAGCCTACTGCACTTCCTTGTACAAAGATGAATTCAACAAATAAAGTAATCCAGGCTCTTTTAAACAAAAACCAGTAACGGATAGGCGGATACAACTTCTGGCAAACTGCTCAGAAGAAACCAATCACCTGATACAGGTTCTCTATAAAGTAATCTCACACATTTAAAAACAAGTAAAT